TCGACAATGGTGCCATTGGTAGACATGTCATCGAGCATGAGAAGACCATCCGCATTCAGATATATGCGGAAGTGTTGATTGCTTATCCTCTTGCCGGAGTCCTGGCCAAAGATAACATCGGCGCTCTGGTGATTGCGTCCAAATATAAATCCGAGCGGCTTGAACTTCAACCTCTTCGCGGATGACATGCGTAGAGCCAGATCTGCGCCAGCCCGCGAGCTGGGTCCTTGTCGTCCCTCCGGAGCGTTGATGATGAATGTCTCCTGCTCCTCAACGTCGGTGATGGAACTACTCATGGAATCGAGTGAATTGCGGAAGAGTACATGCTCGGGTCTATCTTGCGCTGTCTGCTCGACAATCCGAATGGCTGTAGGAGTAGCTGGGTGGAGAATGACCAAGACATCGGCGATATCACCGTCATTGAGACCCGAATTGTTCCTGCCTAGTCGACGTGGATCCAGGACCTGTTGGGTTGCAGGCTGTGTCTGCTGAGACGGGTCGGCCTCCATGATGGGTACCAGACTAACTTTCCGTAGCTTATTGTGCGGCGCTTTGTGGAGAGTGACCCAGGACCAGACGAACGGCGTGCCCGTGGGAGTTGAGAGGGAGGCGACTGAAGATATCGAGCGAGTGACTGGAAGGCGGGTCTCGTGGTTTTATACGCGGCAATTGCGGGGATTCGTTTTACGTGCGATATCGGTCTAGCGCGAGCTGGTGGTAGTTGCGCTTCTAGTAGAGTGAGCGATACCTAGGTAACGTAGGCACGCTGTTGGGCCGTGCGTTGAATGGATGGAAATGGTCGCGTTGAGAGCGTTCTGGTTGGACGTCGGCACAGGTAACAGGTACTCTGGAATGAGCTCGACTCAGAACCTCTGCTACGTGCTCCAACTTAATGGGACGTGTCGATGTCTCTTCAACAGTACGAGCGGCTGGGACTCGTGAATGAACGTTTCCTGAGAATGCAACAGGGTGGGACCAGTATTTCCTTGTCCTGCCTGAGACAGGCGTTGCTAGAGACCGGCTTAATAAACAGCGCTTCCTTACTTGTGTGACCCCTATGCTTTCTTTTTCCAGGCCTCACTCTCCGACACTTTTCAACTTGTATGGGATGGAACGATGGCAAAAGCGAGTCGGCTCGAACGGTAATGCGGTATATATTACAGCGACGCTGTCGTGGAAAGCGCGGGATGTAGATGTAGTGAGCGCGGTGAGGCAGATGTTTGCCTTGATGGCATGCGCGGACGGGTATGGAGGAGAAGACGATGCGAAGGGTTGCCCTAGAAACAGGCTCTACGGCAATCAGTCAGCATGAAGACGTCCAGGTACACCACGGCTACGCGACTGCAATTGAGGCGAAGACAGACCTTGCTAGCAGAACCACGCAGACACCGAACACGAACGTCGGAAGTGAAAGGAAGCAGACCCTCGAGGCGACGCGAGTTGTGAGACTTTGGGTGGCCCGCGCTCACCCCGCTATTGGCTGGACGCCTCCAAGTGGGCCCCGACGGCACCTCCCTCGTGCATCCAAGGCAGCACTCCGTTCAAGAGAAAGCTGCAATACCTCTGTGACGTTTGCGACGCTGCACTACACAAGAAGAAGCTCTGACTTGTGATTTGTATAGATGAGATTGCTTCTGAAAAGATTGGAAGTCTTTACACGGGCGCTGCTGGAATGCTGTGAGGCGGCACCATCGAGATCACGTGTTTACGCGATCTCGTGTTTTTTCGCGTCGTCGGCAACGTCATCCTTGGGTTGACCCTTACTAAGTGGGCCCATAATCTGACAGGGGCACAGTGGCTATCGCCTGCATCTATTGGAATCATCGCGTGTAACTAGTTTGCGATGTTCGTGAACGCATCCGCAGACACTTCTAAGCTTCGCGCTCGAGCTTAAAGTCTTCTCGCAGGGTACTTTTGGGCATGTACATTGGAGGGTTGGAAGTCGGAAACAGTAGTTTGCAACAAGATCTCGATGTCATGCCGTACGTCAAATCTCTACGTGCAGTTGCGCTTCAGATACCACAATTGCTGTCTAGAGTCCTGGCTTTTACAATGTTGATACTAACAATATTCTTCCATTAACAAACGCGTAGCGTTGTTCAGGCTATCACACGAGCGTTATGTCTTCCCAATGATCTAACGCAAGACTCTCTCCCTCCCCATCCATCCACCCTTGCAAGTAACAATCACCGATGATCTCGTATTTCGGTCCTGGAATCGTGTCATCCGCATCGTTACGTCGACGTAAGACAAAAAGCGTCTTCCCTCCAGTCAAGAGAAACACTTCGTCACCACTAGCCGTCTCCGCCGGCCCTAGTCCAAAGAAATGATTGCCGACAACAGGGCTCCAACTCAAGAGATTCTCGCCAATGATGAGGCGCCGCGAGAGCGTTGCTATCTTTATCGAATCGTCAACATCTGGAATAAAACATTGTGTTTCTTGAGGAGGCAGATCGATGTCTGAACCGAATACCCTTTGAAGTGCTTGATCATAGAGATATTTCCATGGAGCACCAGCTCGTGGTCGGAACCCATCGAAGTAGTGGAGTGATCCGAATGGCATGAAAAGGAGTTCACACAAGTTTTTGGTCACTAGAAAGCCATATTCGTGCGTTCCACTGATCCCACTGGGGAAGTACTCGTCTGGGTCATTCGGCGGATGGACTGTGCCTGGGGTAGGATACTCAGGCCACAACAACTTGAATTGCTTCCACAACTGCGTAGACACGGATTGGTCATCGATCCCGCCTGTGCAGTCTGGTTCGCTGTCTGGTGAGATCCTCGAATATCTTGCCCAACTGTCAAAAGTCCTTTTGTCGTAAGCTTTTATGGTGCGTATACCACACGGCAGCCCAGCATGGGTGTGATGTATGACACCCGCACAGATGACTGTCGTGAAAAGACTGTCTACCGGCGTCTTCAACGCAGCATGACGCCATGCACCAACTGCATGAGTGCTCCACAGATGCCACCATTTATAAAGTGTCTGCTGGGTATAATTCGCGTCATCCCCAAACATGGTGTCCCCAAGTACACCCACGGTCATTATCCTCGTGGCTCGTAATCTTAGTGCGGATTCTTTGATCGGCCTGACTGTCATGGGTGTAGCCTTCTCTCGATTCGCGTTGTACAGACTGATAGCTTCTGCGCGTGCAGTATACGTGTGCCCTCCTGGCGCTCCCCAATCCGGAACCCACGAAGGGAGATCGTTTCTGAACTTACGCCCGAGCTCTGTGCTGAACATTGAGAGTGATTCCGTCGTGTAGATAGACTCTAGCGCCGCTTTGCAAAAGACGCTGTTTTCGCTTAGCGAATAGTCCGGTGTTAATGGTGTTCTTCCTGGAGGAGTCCAAGCCATACTGAGGAGAGCATATACTTTGTCTCTGGGGTCAGACGCTTTACGGTCGCGAAAGTGCGTCAAAAGGTTCAGCAACCCAAGCGATATTGAGTCAGTATGATCGATGGACGAAGAGAATGTGCTCCCTCGAAGTTGCTCAATCCCCATGATCGTCTTGCAGCTATCAGCCACAACCTTCTGCTGATCCGGCGGCAGACGTTGGTCAAATTCCTTGCAGCAACCGGCGCTATGACGAGTATAGTTTGCTGCGCCTTGGGCAAACATGTCCCAGGATGCAGATATTGTCCCGTACGTAACAACAACACGGGGAGGTGTTGTCACTTCTTGTATGACCCAAATACGAGTCCACCACGGTGTAAATGGTGAATGCGTGAACTTCCTCAAGGCTTCGAATAGCTGTAATTGAAGTTGGGTTTGATCGTGCTGCGAACCGTTTTCCAGTGGATCTATTGCACCACTGAAGACCAACTGTTTGTCGAGGTGTCTGGATCTAGAAAGGTCATGAAAGGATGAGAAGATCTCATAGACGTCTGGTTTGCCGTTCGCGTTCTTCTTGCCAGACGGCTTTGGAGAGTCAATTTCAAAGTGCCGAATGGATGGCGGTTCAGTCAACGAGGGACGAGCACCCTCTAGGTTGTCGCCGAGATACACTATGCATTCCTCGCACTTCTTATAGATGAGACCCATCAACTGGACTTGATGAGTTCTTTCTTCGCCATCGTTCTGGTCTATGCATCTAGCCGTTGACAGGTCAGATACGGACAGGCAGAGAATCCAAACTTCAAACGTACAGCGCATCTATCCATAGGTCGAGCCCGGCCTTGTACGCTTCCCGCAAGTGCCTTAATGCGCCCTCAAGATTCACCGTGACAGGGTAAACACGGCCATCGAGTCGAATTGATCGTGTCACACGTTGCGAACCCCATACGTAAGATAACGCCCGATATTTTGCGACTTCGATATTGACATTCGACAGTTCGCAGCGAATCGGTTCAGTCCATCTGCCAGGCAACAATCGCACGACCCGGATGTGATTCCCTTGGAGTGGAAGGCCGGGATATGTCGCCGCGCTGTTCTTGCGCGCGCTGTCGGGAGAGAGGAACATGTTCGCATGGAACGATTTGATGAAAGCAATGATAAAAGAAGAGACAATTCAAACCATGATTTCATGTGCGCAATGCTCGCGGCTAGAAGTCGTGGCAGCGAGCTGACCGGTCAGGAACACTGCCACGGCTGCGCATACAACCCCGCGTCGAATCGGATACGCCTCATATACGTCGAGAACAAGTAGCTAGGATTCCGAACTCAGCAGAGACTGCGCAGGCAGCCTTCATATGAGGTGTCGAACGGATGACATCATATCGAGCCTGATATGCTATTGCCATTGTTGATACCAGAACTCAAAAGCTTACCCTTGCAGAGGAGACCTTGCTTGAATGCGAAAGAGAAGCGGCTGTGATGCGTGAAACATCCATGGATGGCTCGATGGGGAAAGCGCCCTCGTGTGTCTCTCATGGGTTTTGCCGAACGCGGTCTAGCCCCACGGAAGTGACATCTGGCCGCAACCAAGAACTCCGCGACCAGCTTCACGGCGCATGCCTTTATTCTATTACTTTCCTAAATTCTAGGGCCTCTTATCGCAATGAGAGGCATTTGGGCACTTCCAGCGGTTTTGCGCATCGCGCTGGCGAACCAGCATGCGTTCAGCGTGTTCGACGATCTGCTCGCTTTCCCACAGGTATGACGCGCCACGCGACTCAACAACAGCGTCATCTGCTAACAGCACACCCAGTATGAGGTTCTGTGGCCAGACACTTTCGTTACCGAAAACGATGCGACGCTTCTCCTCTCCCACGGATCACCCAGCTCGAGCTCTGCAACACCCGGCTCGCAAGAGACGCAGGAACTCTCGAAACGCGATAAGCCGGCAGCGAACATACCACCCGTAGATGATGCGCTCGAACAGACATACGAAGCAGTCGTGCTGCACGGACAGCGTTACATATGCAGCATACCCATAATACCAGAAGAGGTACCGCAGAATGACACAACATCAGCCGAGGAAGCCAAAGCCGAGGAAGAGAAGGAGCTCATACGCGCAGCAGACCGCGGGTGGGAGCTACTCGAAGGCATGAAGGGCAACTGCATCTACTATGTGAGCGGCTGGTGGAGCTACAGCTTCTGCTACAAGGACGAAGTCAAGCAGTTCCACCAGCTGCCACAAAGTCGAGGTGTTCCCCATTACCCACCTGTGGAGGACACGAGCGTACACAGCTTCGTATTGGGAAGGTACCCGAAGGAGGAGAAGACCAAGAAAGCGGACGCGCGCAAGACACTAGGCAACGAAGAGGGCAGCAAGGAGGCTTTTGATGAGGCTAACATGGCCGACGATGACGAGAAGGGCCTGGAGATCTCGAGACTAGAGACCAAGGGGTCCAGCAGATATATGGTGCAGCGGCTGTCCGATGGTACTGAGTGCGACTTGACGGGTAAGCCGCGCAAGATCGATGTACAGGTACGTCCCGGCAGCGCCGTTGTTCTCCAATTCGCAGTATTGACATCTCTTCCAGTTCCACTGCAACCCGCAGTCTGCCGACCGAATCGCCATGATCAAAGAAACAAGCACCTGCTCCTACCTCATGATCGTCGACACGCCCCGCCTCTGCCACGACGTCGCCTTCACCCCACCACAAGAAAACCTCGCACATCCTATAACCTGTGAACCCGTCATTCCAGAGTCTGAAGTAGACGCATGGACAGAAGCACAGCTATCCGCCAAGCTGGCCGCGGCCGAACGTCTCATCGCTGCCCACAACGCTGCCGACGACGCCAACACGAACCCGCTCCGCGATCTCGCCGACGGCCTCGAGGGCTCTACCAAGCGCATTGTCATTGGCGGCATTGAAGTCGGCGCAAAGTCGTTTGTGGGAAGCGAAGGCAAGGTGATTGAGAAATCCGTCGTCGTCGGCGGAGGCAAGGAGACATTTATCGGCACCGTAGCGAGTAGCGACGGCAAGCAGATGTCCAAGGAAGAGATGAAGAAGCTCAACATTGCCGATCCCAAGGATGTCGAGACCTTAAAAGCCAATCTGAGGAAGCTGGCTGGCAAGAAGGGATGGAAGCTGGACCTTGTGGACACACCAAGGGGCAGGGAGTTTAGAGGTATCATCGATACCGAAGATCAGGATACTGAGAAGACGAAGAAGAAGTCAACGAAGAACAAAGATGGCGATAGTGCGGGGATGGGCAAGGAGAAGGAACATGAGGTTGAACAAGGCGATGAGGATGAAGAGATGCAGGAGGGGAGTGAGGAGGTATACAAAGATGAGCTTTAAAGCACTTATGGTATAGTCATGACACTCTATTACGACTATTATGATTATGGCCTACATGTTCGTGCAACTAGGATAGGAGTTCGTAAAGATCATTTCCAAACTCTTTCTCAGTCCTGTCAGAGCACGTAAGACATGCCTCTTCGGCCAGCTCAGCAGTGACCTGGGTAGTTATGGTCTTTACACCCTGGCTTGGGACCACAGCCCCAGGCGTAATTACTCCCTGTGCACGCATGTTGCATGTAGTCGGAAGTAAGCATGCCTTGGGCGAAATCCCCGCCCTCACGGAGAGAAACGCTTCCACATACTAAGAAACATTAGACCCCACTCGTCAACGACCAAAGATGAGTAAACTTACCTTGACACCCATGTTTCAGGAGTCGCTTGACCAACACTTTGACATCCTTGATGGCAATCGGTCGATGAAGATTTCTAGCGAAGAGGCAAAAGCCCGCAGAGAATCCATAGTCACTTGGATCGCATACGATGCGCTGATTATTTGTAAATTCCCAGTCTTCGTCTACGGACGGTAGTATTAGTGAGAGCACTCATGATAAGAACGTAACTGAGTGTTATATGTACTTACCCATCAGATCCATTGACTTGAGGTATCGCTTGACGGTATCGAAATTCTCACTCCACGTTCCGCAGAAGCTACTACCTTTGCAGTGGGTTTTTGAAGGGCCGGTAAGAGCATGTACGTTTTCGGACGTCCCAGGAGGAAGGGAGGTATCGATGGGATCATCAGCGTCGATAGTCTGGTCGGCAGGAACGTCTGTATCGATAGTTTGGTCGACAGGAACATCTTCGTCAGTAGTCTCGTCGGCTGTAACGCTGGAAGCAACCTCATCGCGGGCAGCCTTGCGCTTGTAATCGCAGACACCCTCTTTGCAGCCAGACGTGACATAGTTCACCGTGATCTCGCCAGTGTTAACGTCGTTTCCCGGCTTAGTAGGGCAGCTGCCACATCCTGGTAACGAGTCAGTATCGGAAGGTAGCGTAGGCCAAGGTACACTTACTACCGCACTTGTGATTGACTAGGTCATTGATCTTGCTCTTGATCAGGCTGCCATTCACCTTCTCGTCCGACTTGAGCTTCTGTGGGAAGGCACAGAGGCCTTCGCACTTGTCAGGATTGTTACATCCACTGCAAAGATTACAAGCGATCTGCTCGCCGTTGCCCCACTCTTCTTTGTCGTCTAGATGAAGATTGTAAGCACAGCTCCATGCGGCGAACCTTTTCTGCAGAACATACCAATAGTATCAATGTATGACTTGATCTTCGAGAGGCTAATGTCGCAAGTCGACAGAGTGCACATGGCGCTGCCGCGGCAGTTGATTCCGAGAAGCGCATCCATATCATTGGGGTCTTGGTCTCGAGGAGTGACGCCGTATGCGGAGTTGGGGTCTGTAGAGGATTAGTTGGACGCTTTTGTTTAAGTTGGGATTGAGAGCGTACGAGATGGGTGAGCGAACACAGCCGCCGCCCAAACAAGGACAGTGGCCGTCACGGTTAGAAGCGTGGTCTTCATCTTGACGGCTGCTCAAGATTGGTGTAGCTGGAGAGTAAGTCGACGTCCAGCTATGATTTAACTCAGTGGAGGGATGGAGAAGAGCGAAGGCGGGGGAGGGGAAGACCAGGGAACTATATACTGCAATGGGAGCGGGTTAGACCCGAGTGAAGGTGAAGGCGACAGGATCCAGGGTCTGGCAAGAGAAAGCTTAGACATAATAGCGGTGGAGAAACGGGCACTAGATGTGTAAAAGCGTGAAGTTCACCGTACGCGTTGCCGTGTCAGACACGATAGTCCTTGCTTCTATTCTCTCGAAGCAAACGCAAGACCACACATATATCTTGGCAGCTCTCATTGACGTCCCTCCAAACAACTGGATCTCGAAACATACACCAATATACTGGGGCCAAACGACTCGAGACGATGATGACCACCCCTCAGGTGCCATGCCTTCAAGTAGTCATAGTCCTATACCACACTGCTAATAAGTGCTGCGACAGTTAATCCGTGTTGCCTTCTTCTTCCTTGAGCAGTCACTCTCTAGCTTTTGATCCACGCTTAAACCCCCAATGACGTTGTCTCGAGACGCAAACAAACGACTTGACGGGAAAGACCCTGGAAGGTGAGGAAATCGGGAAAGAGCGAAGAACAATGTAGTGAAATACTACAGTTGAAACGGCTCATCATCATCGTACAAGCAGTCCACGAGCCTGAAATTTGCAGTATTTCCAGAGATTTGTCCCAATAAACTTATGCTAAGCCTGCTATGTCCTGATAGAAGGTATATGTCACCGCATGCACTTTAGGCAAGACGGTGGCGAGGCAGATAGAGACTACACGTATCATAATCTAGACACGATTTCACGTAAAGACGCGAGAAGAACGCATCGTTCATCTAGCTAAGCTGAAGCAAAGTTGCGAATGAAGGGATAGAGGAAGCGTGCCCAGGTGCTCGAGTGAAGCACGTGGCAAGCGAACTCGTTCGTTCCTTCCCTCAGCTGTTATGACATCATCCTAGCGGCACTAAGCCAAAAACGATCAACTCCAGCTCTACGGAGCCTCAATTTTCCCCCTCCTTCCAATCTAATTCACCATCACAGGCTTCCAAAAGACCGCTTCCGAGTGTAGAAGGATCAAATGTCGTACGGACCGAGCCCACGCTTTGGTATGGTGTTCGCAGGTGTGGATTGTTCCAGCGATCGTGCGTGTAGGATTCGCACGTGCGCGGTACTCGAGACCATCCCGGGTCTCCATGGGAAAGCAACCGGACGCACGCATTGTCAAGATGACCCATTGATGTGGCGCATGTTTGAAGCTGCGACTCTTACTCGCAAAGAAAGCGCGCCCAAGTGCCGCTGCACGAGGCAGACATTTACCCTCTCACCGGACACCAGATAGCATCGCGCAACCCAGCGGATCATCAATCCGCGATCTACAACGCACACCTGCATCTCGCGTCCTCTATCCATGAACACATCATCACAGAACGTCAGATGAGCCCGATAGCCGGCTGGTGGTAAGCGAGCATGCTTCGAGAAAGAGCAAGTGGGGCGCAGCACTGGAGGACCTCCTCGTATCTGCACGCCGTCTAGGAAGGAACGAGCGTGCATGTCTCAGCCTCACTTTGTGCCCCAGGCAGAACGAAGGGAAAAACAGGCAGAGACTTAGATTGACATGATACGTTGACTGTTTTGCCTACTTTTGCCTTGTTTTCGACTTGCAAGTTGTGAGGGGGTTGGGAATTGTTCGTCGCGTCGACGATGAACATCGCCATCACGAACGCAGATAGTACAGCGGACAAAATCATACTCACATCCAAGCAACACCGTCTACATAGATCAAGACCGAAACCAAATAATCTCGCCCCCGCTATCACGCGAGATCGCCATTGTACAATCCCGATTCCTGTCACAGCCCCAGCTTACCGATCGCTTCCCCTGTCCCCTTTTCCAATTTCCCGCTCTCTGGTCCTACCCACCAGTCATCCACCCCCACGTGAGGAAACTAGGCTCGCACTGCAGGACAAGCGCATGTCCGGTGAAGCGGTCCCTCGAAGTTCCTGGATTACTCTTCATTCCCGGATCGGTAGGCGTTGGGAACGCTTCTATGCCTATGGCTGTGTCGTGGGTTGCGTCTTGTCTTGGGGCAAAAGGGGTGCAGGACCGATGGTGTGGGTGTGCGTTGCGGCCTAAAATGTCGTCGGTATGTTGGGGCGGAGAGTATGCGAAAAGGAGAGATTGTGGCGGGGGGCTATTTGGTAGTTTGTCGGACATGTCAAGATGGGAAGTGAATGGAGCAGAGTCAGCATGGGTATCGCGACAAGCAGACAGTGAGCTGATGAGACAGGAACTTGAAGTAGACTGTTCAAAGATGACGCGCTTTTGATATTCTACTTTTGGAAACGTGAACGGCCGTAAAACGTTGCTATGTGCATCACGTATCCCCAAACGCCCAGACGGGTATCAACTATAGCGACAGTCGTAGAATACCGTGACCTTAGTATCCGAAACCTAATCCTTGCCGTGTATGTAATCTAAGTCCCTTTTGACAGTCCACAGTGGTTCAGTCTTCTTCCGAGTCCACTTCGCTGTCCGTCTCAGCACTTCTACGCGGCTTGCCATCACCGATCTTCCATCCTGCACCTTCCCTCGCAATGAGTCCTTCATCGCGAAGATAGCGCTCGAGCCTCTGATCCCTGTGCCACGTAGCAGGGTCGAGCATATCCACGCGACTCTTGTAGTCCTTCTCGAAGTGACGTCCAACATGCTCCATGCGCTCCTCCCAGGATGTAATGCCATTGAAGGATCGCTCGCAGAACAAACAGCTCGAATGTTGTGGAGCATTTCGTAGCTGTAGGTTGCAGCGCACTTGGTGTTCCGAGAGGTTCTCTTCGCAGACTGGGTAATCTTTCTGGGTGCGGCAGGACTTGTCTTTCGGAGCAGCGTGCATGCGGCGGAGATGCTGAGTGAATAGATCTTTGCGATTGAAGTCGTTATGGTATAATGTCTGTGGGTCGTTGGAATCGATAGATGGGGTACATAGATCGCAGCGCCAGTAGCCGAGCTTGATGTGCTGGGTGCTGACGTGCCTCTTCCACTCGTTTTTGGAAGAGAAGTTGGACGTGCAGCCATAGCCGGCGAGCGGACATGGGAAAGCTCGACGATCTTCAGCGTGAATGCTCGAATCTGTGATGGCTCTTTGTGTTTTGGAGGACCGACGAGATTTCTTCTCCGATCTGACAGATTCCGTGGGACTTGGAGCATGGGAGTCTCTACGGATCGGCTTGCGGCGCTTCGATGTGCGACCCGAGCTACCGCTTGACGTTGTAGACCTTCTTCGCTTAGACCTTGTCGGACTGTAATCGGAGTCCGAAGCGGGTTCCTCAGGGAAGTCAACGGGCTCTACAGACTGGGCGTCTCGTACGGAGTGTCCGATACCAGAGTCTGCGTACCTCGTATAATCTGGAGCAGCTTCTTCTTTGACTTCACTGTGATGATGATCAGGGGTAGCTTCTTGTTTCATGACAACATCCTCCACGTCTTCAGCCACTGCTTCCGGTACCGGAGGCTCGTACTCTAACTCGCGAAGGCTGATGTTACGCTCTTCGGCGTGAGCTTCGCAGGCGAACGCTCCGCCTTGAAGATACTCAGGTGCAGGGTATGAAACCGGAAGATGAGAGTAGTCCATCGGGCTTCCATATGGAATGCTATGGCACATGTATGGTGACCGAAGCTCGTCCTGGGTGTTTTGACTAGTGTTTCCAGAAGAAGTACGATCCGGTGATGCGTTGCGAAAGCAGTCTGCCGGAGGCCAATGTTGCTCATATTGCTTCTCGTATCGGCCGTCTGGGAACGGGATCTTTGCATAAAGCATGCCTGGCGTAAGGGGGCTTTGCTCGTACAGGAAGCGTTGCATTGGCTGCATGCTGACAATGCCATTGTCGAAATCATCCAGGTAGCTCTCTTCTTCTATATGGAAACGCACTGCATGCTCTTTGCATGGTTGCATGTAGTTGGTGTATTCTGTCGCCCAGACAGGATAGCGCGGCTCATCCACCGTCTCAATTTGTGGCAGGTCTCGGAACTGATGAGCGTCCATGGCTGATGCTCAGTCGTTGCACAGAACCGGACAGGGGTGGCAATGGCGACTAAGTATCGCACGGCACTTAGAAGCCAAAGAGTATGGGGGAATGCGAGTGCTGTAGAAGTTCGACAGATACAAGATCTTCCGTTTCTAGAATCTTGCTGAGATGGCGGAAACAGTCCTTCAAGTAGAGGAGTGGTCAAGGTATTTCGATGTCGTAGTTCTGCCGGACTGAAGTAGCCCAAGTACAGGGACTAGAAAAGGAGGCAAAAGAGGCGGAGCATCAAGTGGGGGGTGTGACAGACCAAGGCAGTAAAGCAGAAAAGCTAGTGTCAAGTTGCACTGCCGTAACCTTTCGTACCGTCTTTCTGTCCCTCGATGCCATGCTCTACAGTGTTTTATGGTGTTTGAGCCGCAGAGCCGCATCGCCAGCCACCAATGAGAGCCCTTGTGCCTTGGCATATGTACTCCCCTGTTCTCAGCTTGACCGGTGGGCCGCAGTGCACAGTTGTCCAGCCACCACTGCGCTGTACGTGAACTTTAGCACCTACCACCGACGGGTAGGTTCAAGCCCCAGGATTAAGCCCCTAATCAAAAGCAATCTTGCTAGTACTGAGCGGATCGCTACCCCATCGCGATACGTCCCAGCCAACTTTTGTGCCAGAGCTGCTTCCGCGGGCTGCACGTTCGCTAAGATGTGGGAAGGACGAAGCGAGACCATGTGGACGTGAGCTGTGAGGATGCTAATCGCGGACCCACCA